GCGCCTGTGCCCACGTGGAGGCGGCTTGGTGCACTCAGATCACACTGTAGGGCGTGACCGTGGAAGCCAGCTCCGCCAACCCTGCTGTGCTGCTCACATCCTGAGCGCACGCGAACCCAGGCCCCCGGTTCCCGGCTATTTGTAAGGTTGAGAGTCTGCATTTCTAACAAGGTCCTGGAGCCGGCCCAGGCCTGCGCGGAGGAGGGAGCACCTGGGAGATTCCTAAGTGCACAAACTGAGAAATACCGATCCACGTGCAGGGGCGCCCTCCATTCAGGGTCAGGGCGCCGCCTCCCCGAAGGGATGGAGTCTGGAAGGGGCATCTTGGTGCAGAGGAGGCAACAGAATTGTGCCGCCACAGTGGGCAAGCCCCTGTGTTTCCAAGGGTCCCTGGCAGACCCACGCTTCTTCCTAAACAAGTGAGAAATTATCTTGGGGCAGGGCGGGCGGTGCTTAGGGACCTGGAGGGGAGGCGTGAAAAGTGGTCCACAGTGCGTACAGGGTGGGGAGCTGTGGTTTGGGATGTTCGGTGAAATCTCCAGACCCTCCTGATAGAGCCTTAGAGAACCCCACCCCAACCCCAGCACAGAGGCCATGTGGTGTGGGCTCTTGTAGCTTGTAACTGCTGCTGTGTGTCCCGGGACAGAGGTAGGAAGGGGTGAGGTTTTTCATTCATTCAACAAATGTACTGAGCGTTCAGGCAATGACCAAGACAGACCCGGTCCCAGCAGGCTTGAGATTGGGTCTGTGGGCAAGAGACCCCTTCAGTAAATAAGGACAGAACCCATTCTGTGTTACCACAGCTGGGGTGAGGGGCAGCACGAAGGGGAGGATCCCTTAAGGACACATTGGAGGGGGAGGAGGGGTGTCATCGCCTCTGAAGAAACATTTAATGTTTGGGCAGAAGTGCAGAGTGGGAGTTGGAGGCAGGAGGAAGAGAGTGTTCACCTGAGAAGAAACATTCACTCAGTCACCAGGCACCTACTATGTGCCATGCAGTTCTAGCCCTGGGCATTCAGAGAGGAACAAAGCGGTCCTCCTGGAGTTTCAAATGTGCAAAGCTTAGGGATGGTAGGGCACTTGGCGTGCCAGGGTTGCAGGAACTGAAAAATTGGCGTGGCTACACCACGGAGGTGAGAGGAGTGTAGAGAGAAATGAGACAGAAAATCAGAGATGTGGTTGGGGCCTGACCATGCAAAGCTTTGTAGGCTACTTCTAGAAGGTTAGACCAATGGTTTGGGATCTGGGGAGGTCTCTTGGCCAAGCCCCAAGCAAGCCCCGCTAGGGTGAAGGGACAGCTGCCTGCAGTTACTTAGGATTGCCTTTAAAAAGTGAACAAATTTGCTTTCGGGCCTCAGCTTGGAAAAGACTCAGGTGAAACTTTCCCCAATGAGCTCATCTGACACCAGTTGCCTCCACCACACCTGGGTGGGGAAGTGATGCCACATCTTCCCTGGCCTCTGGGGTCTGTCTCCAAAAAAGGAGAATCTCCAAGAGCAGTCTTGATAGCCCTTCATGGACACACCCGTTTTGCTTCTTGACCTTCTTTCTGTTTCATTTCCCTGCTCCCTCCTCATGCTTTCTGCTATCACCTCACAAGTTGTAGACAGCGACTGGGAAGGAACATGGCTTTTCTTTCATTGTTGTCAGTTGACTCCGATGAGACTGGCAGATCCGCCTCTTAGATACACATTCCCCAAGGAGGTGGAAAGTGTTATCAGCTTGGCCTTCATATCAGCCCAGATGACGGTGGTAGTGGGTCTAGATATGTAAATCGAGTCAAGCATCAGGAATGCTCGGTCCTACTCAAGAATGCAAATAAGCTCCTTTGAGCCTAAGTTTTGGTGATACTTCTTGGTATTTGGGGGTATAAAATAAATGCACTGCGTGGGCTCAGGGTCCCCTACCTCTCCATCAGAGAGGAGGGCTTCCCACCTAACTCCCAGCTTGCTTCTATTTCTGAGTCTTTCTTCTTTCTTTCTTTCCCACCTAGCTCCCAGCTTGCTTCTATTTCTGAGTCTTCTTTCTTTCCTTTTCTTTCTTTCTCTCTCTCTCCCCCTCTTCCTTCCTTCCTTCCTTCCTTCCTTCCTTCCTTCCTTCCTTCCTTCCTTCCTTCCTTCTTTCCTTCCTTCCTTCCTTCTTTCCTTCCTTCCTTCCTTCCTTCCTTCCTTCCTTCCTTCCTTCCTTCCTTCCTTCCTTCCTTCCTTCCTTCCTTCCTTCCTTCTTTCCTTCCTTCTTTTCTGTGAGGGGATAGCCTGTGTATTATAGCATGTTTAGCAGCATCCCTGACTCCAGCCACCAGATGCCATGAACGCCTCCAGTGAAGACCTGGCCAAAGCAACTGGTGTTTGGAAAGGTCTTAGGATTATAGTGAAACTGACCATTCAGAACAGAGGCCCATATTGTGCTAGCACCTTCTGCCTCTGCCCGAATCATCAAAGCCCTCAGAGAATCTCCAAGAGACAGAAAGAAGCAAAAGAAACATCAAGCACAGTGGGAATATCACTTTTGATGAGATCGTCAACACTGCCCAACAGATGTGTCACCTATCTTTAGCTAGAGAACTCTCTGGAACCATTAAGAGAGCCTGGGGCCTGCCTAGTCTGTGGGCTGCAATGCTTAGGGCATCAACAGTAGAGCAGCAGAATGTCCAGCTAGTTAAGAACCACAAAGGAAATATTTTAATTAAAGATCATTTGATAACAAAAACAAACAAGTTTCATTTTCCTCAAATTTCCACCAATCCTCACTCTGAGTATGACAAAAACAAAAAGTCAAGTCTCTTACATCATCAGGGCTCAGAAGACCCTTAGGGAATGAGTCCAACCCCTTCATGGTACTGATGGGAAGACTGAGGCCCAGGCTTGCCTTGTTCAACCATTTCAGGCACTGTAGGTACCATCATATTCTCTCTGCCTACCTGTCCTCCCTGCAGGCAATTCCTGCACACACGCTGACATCTTCCCACTTCTCCCTGAATGAGGGTGTGGGGAAAAACGGGGAAGAGCTTGGGAATTAACACCTCCAGTAAGGACCTGCCCAACCAATAAGAGACCAGAGTTTGTGGTAAAAACACTGATTTCTTCACTCAGTGGGACAACGTGAAGGCATGTTCTAACCTATATGGCCTCTCAAAGGTTCCCCAGTAAGGTAAGCCTAGATACCTTGAGAGCCCTTTATGACACACCCTTTTTTTGCTTCTTGACCTTCTTTCTGTTTCACTTCTCTGCTCCCTCGTTATGCTTCCTGATATAACCTCACAAGTAAACTACTTGCCCCCAAATACCCAAATCGAATTGAGACAAGAACTGGGCAGAGCTAAACTGCAGGTCTCCTCACTCCTGGTCCGGTGCTCTTTCCTCCACACCAGGTTTCTCAGCCACCGCCCTGTTCACACTTTGGGCTGGATAAGTCCTTGCTGTGAGGGGAAGACCTGTGGATTGCAGCATGTTTAGCAGCATCCCTGACCCCTAGCCACCAGAAGCCAGTAGCACCATCCCATTGGGAGCAATACAAAAATCTCTGCGTCCCCAAATGTCTCTTGGGGCAAAATTGGCCCAAGTTGTGAACCACTGCTCTACACCAGGCTGTCTCCCTTACCGGGCCCAGAGAAAGAATTTCAAATCCTAAGATTCCCTCTCCTTCCCTATTGATCGCCAGATCACATAAATAAAACCACCAGGCAGGGGTTTACTAAAAAAAAAAAAAAAAAATCTTTTATTACAGACGAGTGAAAGAACAATTCAGAGATGAAGACAGAGATGAACAAAACCAGACACTGGAGGCTCAACAGGTGACTTTGTTCCTGAGGGTCACAGAGCAGCCAGATCACCAGGGGACACAGCCCAGCCTCCAGGCCAGGCTGCTGTGTTGGCCACTGGCACCCTCTGGCCTCCCCTGTTTGGCCTGGCTCATCGGCGACTGTAAAGCTGAGGTGTTAGAGACCGGTGATGGCTTTGCTAATACGGGACTGGGCATCAGGGTGGAATTTCTGGCACTGGGAAGCAGAACCGTCAAGTCTCTGCCCTCCCATTTCTATCTTTCTCCTTTGGTGACCTTTTCCTTCCCTGAGACAGGAAGGCTCCTGAGTTGACCAAGAGAAAGAGGAGAGAAGTGAGGACCCACCATCTGGGACCATCCCTTCCTTTCCTGCTAAGTCAAGGAGAGCGGGCAGGCTGCTTCTTGGCTGGGTTTGTAGTAGAGGATCCCCAGAAGGCTGTGCTATCCCTCGAAAGGAATGATAATCAGGCTACGTAACTGAAAGTACGGCATGGACATGACCAACCAGAATGGATGGGCTCTAGGCAACTACAAAGTCATACAGATGACTGTCAGTCTGCCCCTCAAGCCAGAACCATCTGCCCCAGCCCATTCCCAAACTCAACTCTTGGGACCGGCTTCCCAGCAAGGGACCACGTCTGCAGGACCCTTGTCTTAGTCACGTGGCGTCTGTAGTACCTAGTACAGGTCTAGACAAGAGCCAGAACTCAGTGAAGAAATACTAATGAAAGGATGAGGAGATGGTCCCTAGTCTGGCAGAATCCCTGGTCTGGAGAATGATGAAGGCAGCCTGGTCCTACTCTTGTGGAGCCTCAGAATGACGGAAGAAATAGCCCTGGTCCGATGAGGGACTGAGGGTTCTGCAGCTGAAGTAGCTGGGAGCACTCAGATCCAGCTAAAGGGCTCCCTCACTCTGGGAAGCAATGAGATAGAGGGGAAAGAACCACCACCAAGCCCTAACATGGAAGGGCCCAGCATCCTTGGCAGGGGCATGGGCCCATGGCAGGGATGAAGGTCAGCCATAGGGCCACTGAGACAGAGACAGCATGACCCAAGGAAGTGAACACCTCAACTCCTTAGTCTTGTGCCCTCAAGTCCTAGCTCTGAACGTTGGGGTCCAGCAGGAGGGTGGTTCAGGCATGCAAGGACCAGCAAGGAGCTAGTCTTGCAAAAGCAGCACAGAACTTGCTGGGAGAACCCCAGTTCTTGAGCCTTCTCCTTCAGTGAAGCCAACCTGGGGAGAGAAAAACGAAAATCGACATTTTTTTTTAAAGCACTTATTATATGCCAGCTGTTTATCTCACTCAGTGCCACAAACGTCTTATGCTGATGAAATTATGTCATAATATGGGGGTAGGTGAAAGTATCCCCATTTTACAGACGATGAAGCTGAGGCTTGAAGAAGTGAGGCCACTTGCCCAAGTCTCCTCACCCTAAAGCTGGGGCTCTTAGGCTCATACATGCTTCAACAACAGGCATCAGCACCAGGCTGAGTGATGGACACCTGGCTCTGGACACAGACTGGTATCTGGTGCCTGACTTGGAAGGACTGAGGATGACAATTCCCCAGAGACACCCAGCCCCTGCCCCTGCCTTCCTCCACTCCCAGCACAAAAACCAGCACCATCCCTGAGGACTCCCAGGGGAACACGGAAGAGAGGAGGCTTCCTTCCCAAACGACTGGCTCCGTCCTATGCCTCTCCCAGGTCCCCCAACTAAATACCGTGTTTCCCCGAAAATAAGACATCCTCTGAAAATAAGACCTACTTACGGGTTTCCTTCTGAGTGAAATATAAGGCATCCCCCCGAAAATAAGGCCCCCCTTAGGCTAAACATGAGAGATTTGATCCACTGATTCTGAAAGAAATGGAGTCACAAGAAATTCACCAGGAAATTCAGGAATTGGATTATGATGATGTTCCAGAAGATGATGACATGATTGTCATTGAATAAATGAGTAAATTCTTGATACTGCAGAATTCACAGTTTGTCTGGTTTGTGTTGACAACTACCGTACTACTGTACCGTATACAGGTAATAAATTTCCTTTATTTTCATTTAACAATAAATGTGTACTGTATTCTTCTTCATTGAAAAATAAGACATCCCCTGAAAATAAGACCTAGCGCATCTTTGGGACCAAAAATTAATATAAGACACTGTCTTATTTTCGGGGAAACAGGGTAGATGCACATCCCCGATGCCGGGGAGCCACCAGTCTTGGGAGATTCCAGGAGACTCCCATACACGGGGAGAGCCAGGGAACCCAAGGCCTGGTGCACAGACCCCCTAATCTTACAACTGCAGGGAAGCAACCAGCCTGGCTGGCATAGCTTTGCTCATCCTCTCCTGGCAGCAGCTGGAGCGTGGGCCTCATCACCTCTGCCCTCCCTCAAGGCCTGGGTGCTCCCAGCTTCACCCATCCTGGGCTGGAGCGGGGAAGGCGGAGCACCAGGACAGGGAATGGCCAAACTGTGCACCCTGATCCGGGGAAGAGGTGTCCCACCCCAAAACACCTGCTCCTGACCAATCTGCCTCCTAGGCACTCTGCCATCTCCCCTCAAACCACAGTCTCGAGCGCCTACCTACCGGCATGTTCCTTCTGGGTGGAGGCTGCCTGGCTGAGGGACAGTCTTCCGGGTTCTGATGCCCCCCGCCGGTAGGAACGGGTGCTCTCGGAGCTGGAAAGCAGGGAGAGGCCAATGTGACCCCCGTGCCCAGGGAGCCCCCCGGAGTAGAGAGAAAGGGCTCAGGTGTGGGGCTTACAGTCCACCAGGCCCCTGGCCTCTAGAGAGCTCTGGCCATTTCCCTGTCTGCCCCCCAAGCTCCAGACTGGAAGAGTTTGTCAGGAAGAGAGGGCCGGATCCTGGAGTGAAGGGAGGGACAGAGGGATGCCCACGAACAGCCTCTGGAGCAAGCCACACAGGTTCCCACCGCCTCCTCTCCAGCTTCAGCCGTCTACGTCCCAGATTCTTAATCAACCTCCCAGGAGCAGGCTTGTGAAGGGGAAAGACCCTCCATTTAAGCTCTAGCATTTCTGCGTGAGCCATGGGCCTCAGAGCTGGGAGGTATCCCAGCCTTCAGGCAGACACAGTTTACAGGCGGGGAAATAAACGGAAGCTCAGAGAGGTCAGGGCACTTGCCTGGGTTGCACAGCTGGGCTCTCACCAACCTGAATCGGACGGGGGGTGTGTTTCCGGATGTCAGGCTGGGTCGGGAGGTGCCTGGGAACTCCAAGAGAGCCTCTTCGGAGCTGGGTGGGGTTTGGTTAGCACCCCCAGGTTCCACGGGGCTTGTAAGGCTAGAGGAGGAGGACGTTGGACTGTTTTGGCTCTCGGGGGCCCCAGGAGCTTCTGAGCCGAGGCTGGGGACTTCGGAATGATCTGGAATCAGAAGGGATACAGCCTGTGTCTATCTCTTATTCCGCTCCATTTCAAAGTAGCCTTTGGCCTCCAGAATCTCCCGCTTCCCCACTCCCCATCTATCTCTCCTGCACCGTCCTTCACCTCTTCCCCATCATGCTGAGGTCTTCTTCAGCCCCGGCATCCATTCCCAACCGCCAGGCCACAACGATACCCGGATTTGCTTCTGCTTACACCTTCTCCTCGGTCTGGGCTCTCCTGCTCATCCCTCAGGCTCAGCCCAGAGGCCATCCCCACCGGGAAGCCTTCCTAAGCCACCTGCCAGCCCCAACAGGACATGCCCCCTCCCTCCCTGAGCTCCCAGAAGGAGCCTGTCCCTTCATTAACACACAGTTCTTGAGAACAGCCAGGCACCGCGCCAGGTGCAGGAGAAATAGCGGTCAGCAAAACACTCCACGCCCCCGTCCCCTCAGGATTTACAGTCCCCACCACACTGGGCCTTATATCATAAGGGACTGCATTCGTTTATTCTCTCCCCCAAAGGCCTCAAGACATAGTGGACGCTCAATAAATGCGTCTCTCTGTTTTCATGTAAGTGAAACATTGACAGAAATGGAATAAAACAGACTTAGGTTTGAATACCACTCAAGGGACTCAGCTGTGGGATCTTGGGTAGGTTACTGAACATCTCTGTTCCTGTGTTTATAAGGGGGAGATGATAACCCCAAACTACCAGAGGATAGTGAGAAGGATATGAACTAACATATGCACACAGTAGGCCCTCAATGAATGGCACAAGGAGCATTTTTCTGGGCAGCCAACCATACCTCCACTGGCATGTCCCGCACGGCCTTGGACCACGGTCCGAGAAGGGTTTTTGACGGGTAAGGGTGGGGGGCAGTCCTCACTCTGGCTCTGAGGGGCAGCTGACCCCAGGTTGGTGACAGTCTCGTAGGTCTTGTTGCTGATGTCCATCCTCCCACTGGCCCAGTGGCCCTGGGCCGGGGGCTTCAGGGGACAGTGCTGCTGGGACAGAAGGGTTGGAGGGAGGACGGCCTGGTTTCTCCGGTTCCCCCTGTCCCTCCCCACACGAGGTCCAATCAGGTTCTGAAGGTCTGAGAGGCAGGGGCTGGGACCCACCTTCTCCTCTTCCTCCTCCTCGCTGTCAGAGCCGGGCTCTGCGGAGATTCCCCAGGAGTAGTGCACATGCAGGGGGAAGGCCAGGGTCCCCGCCTTGGCCTGTTCCAGCTGCCAAAACAGAGCCGTGGCCGTTCAGAGGGTCCGGGCTCAGAGGAGAGAGAGAGGAGGCCAGGGTACCCCTCCTTCCCGAGGCCTTACCAGCTCCTCACACTCCTTGTGCTGCTTCTTCCTGGCTATGTCCAGAGCTGTTTCTCCTTCTTCGTTCACTGTGAGGGGTCAAGTCAGGAGTCTTAGTCAGGGTCAAAGTCGCCTGGTAGCTTAGAGGTTAAGATGGGCCACTGGAATCAAATTGCCTGAGTTGGAATCCTGGCTCTGCCACCTCCTGGCTGAGTGACCTTGGGCCTTAATTTTTTCATCTATGAAATGAGTGTGATACTGACCCGGTATTGTGAAAATCAGATGAGTTAATATGTGTAGAGCATTTGGCACATGGTCAGGCACATGGTAAGCAGCAAATGGTGGCCATTAAAATCACTATAATTCAGGTGCAGCTCATATCTGTTTGGTTAGGTACTTTCAGAAACAATATTTTATTTTACCTTCTTAGCAGGCCAACCAGGTCAGTGGTATTATTCCCATTTTACAGATGAGGAAACTGAGGCTCAAGAACTGAATGGACAAACACCACAGTCACACAGATGGTCAGAGACAAGCCAGGATTAGGACCCAAGTCGGATTGTGAAGTCCGTGCTCATAGCCAGTGCTCTCTGTCTGGGAAAAAAGCAGGGGGTCCCTCACAAGGGGGAGTCGGAGGGGGAGTCTGATGGAGGAGGTGTCTGAGCCCCACCTGGGCCAACAGAAGCTCTCCCTTTCAGCAGCAGCTTGAGGCAGTCAGGTTGGTTGTAGAGAGCAGCGTAGTGCAGGGCACTGTTCCCATCAGCAGCCTTGGCATCCAGGTGACCGCTGGGGAGGATGGTCAGGGAGGAAGGAAGGGGAACAGACAGGTGAGGGGGTCAATATCAGAGGGGAAAAGAGGGAGAGGAGAGGAGGGAGAAGGGGTGGGGGGGAGAACAAGGCCAGGGGGCGGTGTGAGGACACGCACAGACAGGCAGGGGGGTTCTCACCCATTCTGGATGATGAAATCCACCAGGGGCAGCGAGGCCTGGTTGGCGACTCTGACAGCCAAGTGCAGGGCGAGCTCTCCAGGTGCCTGAATACACACCCAGCCCTCTGAGTTTTCCCGGTTCACCTGCCCCCACCCCAATATTGCCCTCTTGAATCCTGCTGTCCCCCGACACCTCCAGATATGAGGCTGCCGGCATCCCTGAGAGATGAGACTGAGTGGACAACGTGTTTGAGAGGAGGTGACATCTCTTCCTTCAGTGGCTTCAGTGGCCACCAATAGAAGACGCTTCCCTAACTCGGTTCTTGGCCCCGGGCTCCTCTCACTGCCACCAGGACCTCAGCGAACCTCGTGTTGCCAGCTATCACTCAGGGAGGCTGTTCCAGGCTTATCTCCCCGAATGTGGCACTTTCCTGCCCGCCGGACAGCCACAGAGGTGTCAGACCGCTCACAGATATGCCACCCAATTTCTGATGTTCACCAACTCCTGTTGACTTAATCTTTCCAATGTCTCTGATATTCTCCCCCGACTCCCCAGTTCATATGATGTTGGTTACTGGAAATGCCATACAACGGCCATCCCTGCTCTAATATGACCCACTTTTATCCATTTCTAAAGGTTTTCAAGAAGAAAAAAAAAGAAAAGAAAAGAGCTGAAACCAGTTTGGCTCAGTGGATAGAGCGTCAGTCAGCCTGCAGACTGAAAGGTCCCAGGTTCGATTCTGGTCAAGGGCATGTACCTTGGTTTCGGGCACATCTCCAGCAGTGGGTGTGCAGGAGGCAGCTGATCGATGTTTCTCTCTCATCGATGTTTCTAACTCTCTATCTCTCTCCCTTTCTCTCTGTAAAAAAATCGATTAAAATATATTAAAAAAAGAAAAAAAAAGATACTAACAAGTTATTGCACACATATTATGCAGTAGGCCCTTCATGCACATGACAATTCTCATTTCAACGTGGGGGCTATCCTTTTCTCATCTTTATCTCAGAGAAGTTAAGCAACCCACTCTGGACCACACAGCCAGGGGAAGACAGAGCCAGGATTCTGGCTCGGGTCTGCTTGACTGAACGCGTGCTCTTTCCTTTCTACCCCTCTGATGGGTGAGGTTTGAGCAGGTGTCAGAGGTGGGCAGAGGGGCGTAAAAGCCGGTGCTGGAGGCCTGGGGCATATGTAATCGCGGGTGGGTGATGAGTGCTCCTTGGAGGGGGTCCTCACCTGGCCCTCAGGCCCTGGCAGCAGCTGCCCGAAGTCCTGCCCGTTCGCGAAGGCCTCCAGCACGGACAGGAGGTCCTGGTTGCAGATGGCCATCCAGAGCCTCTGAGGCTCGGGCGTGGACCGCCGGGCGAACCTGTGCTCCATGTACTTGGCCACGATGTAGTCCCTGCGGGCACTCCTGCCAAAGACAGCCCCACGCGGGACCTCAGTTATCCCCGTCCACCCAGCTGACCCCTGGAGCCCGCCCACAGGAGACACAGATCTCCGAGAACCTGTCCCGGACTCCCCCGGACCTGAGGCTCCCCAATCCCCAGACTTCCAGCCCAAGATCTGCCTGAGACCTTGGGAGCTGGGGAAGCAGAATCCCCAGGCAGCCTGTCCTCCACCTGAGAGGCCCCTTACATGTCACTGTCCGCTGAGGGTTTAGGGCCGCCGTGTGAGGGCAGCTGGGCCTCCATGACTTCATTGAAGCGCGAGTTTCCGATGTTCAAGGCCAGCTGGAGTCACAGCAAAGGAAGACGGGTGGTTAGGATGGTGACCCCTGGAGGACGGAGCCCATCCTGACTGTCACCTTCCCCTCCCCTCCGACCCCAGTCACCCACCCCCCAAGCTCTGGCTGAGCCACTGTGCCCACGCCCGGAATCCACTCTCACCAACAGCTCCGAGGGGCACAGCAGGTCCAAGGTGAGGGACTGGATTCGCGAGAAGCGCACGCCCAGCTCGCGGTGGACGCCGGAACACTGGATGCAGGTGAGCACGCCCAGGTTGGTGCTGAGCCACGTGGGGTCTGCAAAGAGAGCCGCTCATTCCTGGAGGGGCGACCCCTTCCCTCCTTCCCCTCCCACCTCCCTCCTGGGGGTGGCCCCGCCGCCGGACCTGCAGCCCCGCAGTCGCAGCACTGGCCGTTGCCGGGCCTGCTCTTCACCTCCGCGATGAGCAGCTTGGTGAGGTCCTGGAGCTCCCCGTCCAGCCCGGCGCCCGTCCAGGGCCCCAGGAGGCCACTGGGCTCCCCTTGGAAGGCACTGCTCAGAGCTTCGTCCTTGCTGTTCTGCAGCACCGACACCCACCTGCGGAGGGTGCATGTGGGGATGACACCCCTGGCTTGGAGTCCTGCCCACCCCCCACCCCAACCCCCGGGTGGTGGGGGGGCACTCACGCCTCACACTCATGCTCGTCCTCCGCCTGGAAGTGGTACGTCCTGTTGTCTGTTGGGAAGGGAGAGGGGGACATGTCTGGCCTTCCCTGGGCCCAGGGAGCCCCCACCCAAACCGCTGGACCCAGACAGAGCTCTGGTCCCCATGCGGCCAGGCTCTGCCCAGCTAGGGGTGGGCGGGAATGGCAGTGGCCAGCAGAGGGCGCAGTTTCTCAAAAGTCACCTACAAAGGAGCATCCCAACAAGGCTTTCCCTGTGCAGCTGGGGTTCCGGGTCATGGGAGGTACTGGAGGGCACAGGACCCCACGCAGCTCAGAGGCAGTCTCCTCTGAACCCACTGCCACCACCCCAACTGTCCCCACAGCCCCTGTCTGGTCTCCCTGCTCTCCATCTCTTCCACGCGCCCCCTCAAGCCAGTACCAACTGCCAGACTGTTGTTGCCTAAGGTTCTGCTCTAACCACTCCACACCCCTGCTCCAAGACCCACCTCGGCTCCCTCCTGCCAGGAAACAACATCCAAACCTTTGAGAGGCATTCCCAGGCCTCATCTCCTACGGCTCCTATGTGAACCCCACACTCTGGCCACACTGGCAGGACTCACACTCCTGTTTTTATGTTTTTCCTCGCGCCAATCCCATCCCCTGAAATGCCCTCCCCGAACTCTACCCCCTGAGTCCTTCAAGGCTACTGTCAAGGGCTGCCTCCTCCAAGCAGCCTCCCTGATTGCCCAGAGCAGACAGGCCTTCCTCTCTTTCATCTTGGGCAGTGCTGTATCTGCTCCCCTCTTCTGGACACTCCCCCTCTTCCTACAGTCACGCCCCTCCTGCCAGAGAGGGCTCCCTAAGGATGAGACTGGGCTTTGCTCATCCTACGCCTGCCCTGAAAAAGCCTGGCCCCAAAGGAATAATAATTCCAAAATTACGCCTCCAAACCCATGTGAATGTGCTTTACACAGTGTCCGGGGCCTAAGGAGTCTTCTGCCTGCGGGAGTGGCTGTTTGGTAAACGTGTGGAACTGGACACAGGCGCCTGGCTCAGCCTCCTGGCGGCTGACAGGCCTCTCAGAGAAGCCTTGGGCAGTGGTGGGGAAGGGGCCGGGACTACTCACGGGTCACCAGGTCAAAGCACTTCTTCTCCTCGGGGTTTGGCCTCACTTGGCAGGTCAGCAGGGTCAGCTTCACGGGGGGCCGGTTTATCTGTGCGAAGTTGGGGGACAGAGGGTGTACATGTGACCGTCTGGGCCTCCCAAACTCTCAGGCCCCGTTTCTCAATCTGTTAAGTGGGCGCCATCCTGCTCCTGGGTGTGTGTCCCCTCTCCCAGCTCCTCCAGGGTGTGGAGTGTGTGGGTCAGCACCAGGCTGGGAGCTGTGGGTCCCATCCTTCCCTCCACACACAGGGGGTCTCCCGGGACCTGGGTCCGGGTCTCAGAGGGGAGGGCTGGACACTTGTCTGCTCAGAACACCGAGCGGAGAGAGGACCCGTGGCGCTCTGGGACGCCACCCCGCCCGGCCTCACCATGCTGTGTGAGATGGTCAGGCAGCCATACTTGACTCCACACTTCCTTTTCTGCCAGACTCTTCGAATTCTAGGACCCAGAGGGACAGAGAGACCGTGACCCGAGGCTCACCCCTAAGCCCCCTGTCGCAGAAAAACAGGGTCCTGGCCCAGGCCTCCTGAAGGAGGAGACGCAGTTCTGCCCACAAGAAGCTCCCGGTCTGATGGGGGAAGCAGCCTCGCTCTCCGGGAATCCTATTCCAAAGGGGCACGTGACCTTGACCCTCTGAGAGCTTCTACTCCGATGGAGGAGACACAGCTCCCAACCTTATCTGAGAGGAGGGACAGGCTCTTGACCGCAGCAGCTCAATTATGGTTAAATGCAAAGCATCGTGAATAGTGAGACGCTAAAAATACAGTTAGCAAATCCATGCTCCAAAGCTACTTCACACTTCCGTAAATATTAATTGGTTTAACAGAGTTATTCTTCTCTGATAAAAACTGAAAGTAGTAACACGGCCCTGGGTGGTTTGGCTCAGTGGATAGAGCATCAGCCTGCAGACCAAAGGGTCCCGGGTTCGATTCCGATCAAGGGCATGTACCTTGGTTACAGACTCCTCCCTGGCCCGGGCCTTATTCAGGGCTCGTGCAGGAGGCAACCCATCAATGTGCTTCTCTCACATCAATGTTTCTCTCTGACTTTCCCTCTCTCTTCCATTCTCTCTAAAAATCAATGGAAAAATATCCTCGGGTGAGGATTAACAAAAACGAATAAACAAATAAACAAATAAATAAAGGTGATTAACTGTTAAAAAGGAAGTAGGAACACGAACACTTCCCATAAGGGCCTTGGCATTTCCCAGGCTGCTTTGTGACGCAGAGAGGAAGGCACAGGCAACACTGATTTCCATGCCCATTCCGTCTATTGCAGAGGCTGAGGGAGGGCATGGAGGCTCTGGGGCCTAAGTGCTCAGCAGTGTTCGCCGCTGCTATGCTTCTTCAAGTTAAGAAGCTCAATTGCCCAGGACTGTGATGATTTTGCATTGCCACAGTGGAGGGCCCAAGAACCCTCAAATGATCAGAAAAGTCCCTTTGGCCCTGACTGGTTTGGCTCAGTGGATCAGAGCATAGGCCTGCAGACTGAAGGGTCCCAGGTTTGATTCCGGTCAAGGGCATGTACCCCAGTAGGGGGTGTGCAGGAGGCAGCTGATGGATGTTTCTGTCTCATTGATGTTTCTAACTCAATGCCTCTCCCTTTCTCTCTCTAAAAAAAAAAAAAAAAAATCAATAAAAAAAATCAATAAAATATATTAAAAAATAAAAATAAAAATAAAAGTCTCTTTGGTCAGTAACTCCAACCCTGACATTTACTGCCTGTGAGGCTTTGGTCAGGCTACTTATAAGTTCTCCAAGTCACTTACCCATCACTCTTCTTGTACAGAAAGCCCACCTTCTCCGTCCCAAACTGCTTGTTGCCTTGGTGCTGGTGGATGCTGTAGCCACCTCCCGAGTTCTTCCGGCTCATGTGGTCCTGCTCCCCAGGCATGAGAGGAGACCTCAGGGTGGGGAGAGCCCCACTCTGCAGGGGTCTCCTGCAAGGGGACTCAGGGGACTCGGAGAAGTCTTCCCTCTCCCCGCACCTCCCACATGGCGTGCCTTGGAGGAAAGCACTCCTTCCGGGGTAAACCAGGGGCTGACCTCTCTGTTCTCAAGCTGCAGCGTCCCTCGGAGGGAGTCCCGGAGCTGGGTCAGCTTCTGCAGCTCCTCCTCCTGGGCTTGGCGCAGCTGGGGGAGAGGGCAGGACCCCGCCATCAGCCAGCCGCTGTGCCAGTGCAGAGTCCAGACCAGCAGGGCAGGAGCCTCTCTCTGGGCAGGGGCAGCCCTTCCACACCCAGGTTCTCCCAGAAGGCCAGGGGGCTTGTCCACAGGCCAAACGGTAAGGCCCGACTTACCGCATGTACCGAGGCTGCCAGCTTCTCGATGAAGGGGGACAGGCTCTGAGCAGCCTTCCAGCCATCTTGGAAAAAGCTAAGAGGTGCGAGGCCAAACAAGGCGCCAGAGAGAAAGGAAAATGAGAGGTGAAACACCAAGTGTGGGAGAAGGTGCTCCAAGGATGACCGGGCAGTACACTAGTAGTCTGATGGTCAAGGACAGGCACTGGAGTAAGAATGTCTGGGTCCAGATCCCAGTTTACTAGCTTAGTAAATCTGAGACTCAGTTTTCAAATCTGTACAATGGGGATAATAACAACACCTGCTCACAGGGGCGTTAGGGGATTGAGTGAGATCAAGTGAGCCAAGTCCTTGGGGGTCTGCCAGCACCTGGGCCTGGGCCTTGCTCTCTGTTGCCTGACGGGTTAAGGGGCAAGGAACATAAGGCTAGGGCTGGGGTCACGGGGAGAAACCTACTTGTGCTGGGCATGGAAGAACTTGATGAGGCTCTGCAGGAAGTCGGGGCCTTGCTTCATCTGGCTCTCCCCGGCTTTCAGCAGATACTGAGGGAGGGCAGGGCAAGAGGTGCCACGTGAGCAGAAGCTGGGTCCTTGGGACAAGGGCCTGCAGTCTCCCTCCCAGGCTGATCCTCTTGGCCATGACTGAAGCTTGATGGCATCCCAAGGGCCATCTGACCGGGCCCCGAGGTGAGCCTGCGCCCGGGGCCCCAGGAGGTGCAGGAGAGGCAGATGGGAGGACAGGTCCCACCCTCCCTCCTCTGGAGCAGCCGTTACCTCGCACATGTGCAGCTGGAAGAGGCGCCGCTCCCTCTGCGTGTCCTGGGCCACCTCCCCGTGGCTTCCCGCTGTCCCTCTGGCCCGGTCTCTGTCCTTCTCCAGCCTGGCCCTAGGCCCCAAGGAAAGAGAGGCTTGAACATCTTGGCCCCTTTCACACTCCGCCATCCCTACACCCTCCTCTCTGGCACGGGCACAGGAGAGTGAGGAGCCCTCCTGGGTGACAGCAGTGAACAAGGCCGGTCTGGGGAACCCGCTGGTCCGTGGGGGAGAAAGACATGAATCAAACCACAGCCGGGAGAGTAAAATGGGGGACTCGACCTTTTCCGGCTGCTCAGGAATTGATGTGTGAGCTGGGATCTGAAGTCTGAGAAGTTGCTTTGGAGAGATCTGGGGCTGGGTAGGAGGACCAGAGCATGTGACGGCCGGAGGCAGCAGGGATCAGGAGCCCAGATGGAGAGGGAGGTGGTTCCACGTGAGCTAGAGGGGCCAGACCATGCACAGCCTGATTCAGACCCTGCCGAGGCTCCTGGTCTTTCTCCCACGAGCAATGGGAAGGACGTAGGGGTTTTTATTTTTATGCAGGGAGGTGAGGAGCTCAGATGAGGGCCAGGTGGGATTGGGGTGACTTTGCTGGAAGGGATGTAGTACCCAGTGGGTTGGAGCTTCCCTTTTAAAGCTTAATAAACTTTTGTTCTTTTCTTTGTAAGTGAAGACAGGAAGTGCTTCCCATCCCTGTAATTGAAAGTAACTGGGCCGTCTCCCTGCAGATCTTAAGGGTTGTCTGTGTCCCCGCCCCTTTGGGGATGGGGGGGACTGTGTGCAAATGCCACACCCATCAGACCCCTCCGCCTCAGCCAGGAGAGATTTCCATATCGGAGGCTGGCCACACGTGACCACGAAACCTGCATAAAGGAGACATCCCAAGTGGGTGTCAGCCCTGAGCAGAGAAGTCAGCCATGGGCTGCATTACGAGCTGCATTATTTCCTTCTCGACTGTCTTCTCACCTGGAAAATGGGGACCCTTATCTGTATCCAGATGAGATCAAGTTTGCAAAAGACTTAGTGCATGGGAGACTATAGGCCCCTCTAGGCCTGTTTCCCATCTGTAAAGGGAGGGAGCGATGGCCTGGACCGGTCCCTTCTGGCACTGAAGCTTCAGGCCTTACTGAGGTGAGACCTCTGGGACAGTGTTTATATGCAGAATCTGTACGTGGAGACCTTTCTCAACCTCAGAACTAAAGACATTTTGACCCTATAATTCTTTGCTGCAGGGGGGAGGGGGGTGGGTAGGATGGATGTGTCCTGTGGATATAGGATGCTTAGCAGCACCCATGTCTTCTCCCCACTCGATGCCAATCTACCCAGTTGTAACAACCAGAAATGTCTCCTGGGGGAAAGGGGAGGGGGTGCAAAAACACCCCTGGGCGAGAACCGAGGCTCTAGAGTGGGGTTATGCAGGCTTTTGAATTTTTATTTAATTTCCTCACAAGTGGCTGTTTTTCATTTCAAGTGGGAGTTCGTGGCAGGGTGGTGGCGTTGGGGGGTAAGCGCTGGATCAGGGCTTTGCTTCTTTTTGGATCTGGGGATGAGCAGTAGAGAGAGAGGCAGCGACCGGGCCTGCAGTGTTAGTAACGATGAGCCGGGGTCTTGCTAAGGGGGCGGGAGACTGAGTGGGCAGAGCAGCTGGGAGAGGCAGGGGCACTTTTCAATAGTGGAAAATGAGAAATAAGCTGACCGCCTATTAATGGGGAGGGGTTAACTCAGTTACGCTCTGTCCCTCTATGGGAATACCATGCAGCTCCTACAAAGGATGCAGAGGCTCTATAGAGGGTGGAAAGACGTCTGCTGCAGAGTAAATGACAGAAAGGAAGCCACTGTGTAGCTCAGTGGTTAGAAATGTGGACTCTGGATCTAAATGGCAGCCCCCCCACTTCCTTAACCTCCACAAATCCTTCGAAGGTTCAGTTTCTCCACCTCAAAAACGAGACTAGCCTGGCCGTGGTTCAGTGGTTGGGCATTGACCCATGAACAAGAGGTTCCTGGTTCGATTCCTGGTCAGGGCACATACCTAGGTTTCAGGATTGATTCCCAGTGTGGGGCATGCAGGATCGATGTCTCTCTCTCATCGATGTTTCCATCTCTCTATCCCTCTCCCTTCCTCTCTCTCTAAAATCAATAAAAACATATATTTTTATTTTTATTAAATATATTTTATTGATTTTTTACAGAGAGGAAGAGAGAGGGATAGAGAGTTAGAAACATCGATGAGAGAGAATCATCGATCAGCTGCCTCTTGCATACCCCCTACTGGGGATGTGTCCCCAACCAAGGTACATGCCCTTGACCAGAATCGAACCCGGGACGTTTCAGTCCGCAGGCCGACGCTCTATCCACTGAGCCAAACCTGTTTTGGCAAAAACATATATATTTTTAAAGAAGACTAATATTGCCTAGTGCTCAGGTGATATGATTACATGAGAAACATTTAGTATAGTCCCTGGCATAGGGTAAACCTTCAATAAATGGCAGGATTATGATGATAATAATGATACTAATGACTAAATAAGAACTATTGGTGGTAATCTTTTTAGTATAGGGTACTTCTTTAGTTATTTATTCGATATTCTAAATACAGGGTCTAGTGGAGATTAAAGGACAGAGTTAGTTAGCGTAGAATGAAGATAAGCTGTAAAGTATATACACGACTTAGTGAAATACCACAGCTCTGTCCCTCAGCGTCAGCTCTGGGAGTTTACAGAGGTTTACCCTACAAAGTCTGACTAATATGACCTGAGACACCTCATACTAATAGCAGGGGAGTGCTTTTTATTCCGCCACCCCCACGCATCCATAAAATAACAACTCCCAGTCCGTCCCTGTCCTCCAAGGGTCACCAATGTTTGTAAACATTTCACATGTTAGGACGGCTCTTCTTCCCCTCGAATGGAGTGGCAGCAGAGGAGCAAAAAGAACGAGTGAGCAAAAAGCGTTGAACTGTGCCCTCGCCGGTTTGGCTCAGAGAACAGAGCATCGGTCCTGCGGACTGGGGGGTCCTGGATTCGACTGCGGTCAAGGGCAAGTACCTTGGTTGCAGGCTCGATCCCTGGCCCTGGTTGGGGCTCTCTCACATGGATGTTTCTCTCTCTTTTTCTCTCTGTGTCTCTCCCTCCCTTCCACTCTCTCTCTAAAAAAAAGAAAAGTGCTGAATTGCCAGTTACTAGGAAGACCGAGGTAACTGGAGAAGGGGCTGACAGCAATACCATTCGGCAAATGGGGAACAGGTATGGGGAGGGGAAAGGAGGTCATGGAGGAGGAAGATGGGGATCAACACGGATCATGCACCCACCTGCCTGACCTCTCCTGTGATGCCTGTTCCAACCACCCTTCCCTCCGCCCGAGCAGAGCCACCTGTCTTTTCTGCCTCCTCTGTGCTGATTACTTACTGTCACTCTGTGCGTCACTGTTTACTGAGCCTCCGCTCTTCTTGCTTATAAAACGCAGGGGGATCCACCACGGCGGGGGCTGTGGTGGTTTTCTCCCTCACTGCTTACCTATAGGTTGGGGATCGGAGCAGCACCTCTCCCTGCCAAGGGCCATACATCTGATAACAGATGTAAAGGGTTCATCGCGTGTCTGGTGCACAGGCAGCTCTTAAGTATAAGTACCAGCTGCTATCATCACTAATTATTATTTTTAAGCAGGCAAGCAATCCCCATTTTACAGAGGAGGGGCCCGAGGTGATAAGTCACAGCCAAGTGGCAGAGCAGGATTTGAACCCAGGTCTATCTGGCGCTAGAGCCCTGGGGATGGCGCTGGTACCCATCCCTGTGCTCAGACTTGTCCAATCCCTCCTTCCTGCCTTCCCCCAGCTGGGGACGGTCACAGTGTCCTTTTTGATAGATCGCTGTCAGGGCCTATTGTACAGACGATGAAGCTGAGGCCCGGACAAGGGAAGTGATTGCCCACGGTCCCAAGCTGGCCAGGGGCAATGCTGGGAGAGAGGTCCGGCTCCTGTCTCTCGGCGCCGTGCTGTGTTCTCCTGGTCCTGGTTCTGGCTCAGAAAGACGGTTGAGAAATACCTGTTGACCTGCAGGGCCAGGTGCCTCAGGGGCACTGCGCTAATCTCATCCCATGCCGACCCTGTAAGGTATCACCGGCCCCATTCTGCCGATGAGGAGACAGTCCCGCCCGTGGAACGGCCCAGACAAGCGTGGCCCCTGCACAGGACCTGGGTGCCTTTCTCAGCGGCCCCAGCGGGAGAGGGGACCCCTCCTCCCACATGAGCACCCCAGGGATGAGACCTGGTACCACACAGAGGCTATCAGGACCCCGGGCCCTGCCAGCTGCTGCCACGACTGGTTTGTAAGAATGAGGTGGGCCCTAGCTATTTTGGCTCAATGGATAGAGCATCAGCCTGAGGACCGAAGGGTCCCAGGTTTGATTCCTGGTCAGGGCACATACCCAGGTTGCAGGCTCAATCTCCAGTGTGTGTGTGTGTGTGTGTGTGTGTGTGTGTGTGTGTGTGTGCAGGAGGCAGCTAATCGCTGATGTTTCTCTGTCATCAATGTTTCTCTCTATCCCTGTCCCTTTTTCTCTCTCTAAAAATCAATAAACACACACACACACACACACACACACACACACACAGAGATACCTGTGCCAGGACATGTAGCTCAACCTATGTAAGCTAGGTGGCAGGAAGAACACTAAACTAAGAAGCTTTAGCTTCTAGACCAGGCCCTATTGACAACTCGCTAAACAATCTCAGCCAAGCCCCTTCCGCCATCAGTTACACAGAATCTTTCCTTTCAACGTAACCTTATGGGCGAGCTCCGTTTATAAACCTGGGAAGAGCAGGTTCATTCTTCCCATCTGGTAGACAATGCCCCGAAAGGATAAGGCCTCGTCAAGGCAACTCAGGAAGGCCAAGTCACCCACATCAAATTATAAGGAGAAACACAGTCTGTCTCGGCACCTCTAATGAGAGCAGGTGGCCACGCCCATCATGGCGCCCACACCACAGGATCTACACCCACAGCGGAGTGTGAACGGAATGCTGGGGGAGGGAGCGGTCATGACCTTCATTCAGACATGGGGAGGTCCCTCTCCATGGCTCTGGGGGCTGGGACAATAAAGCTCCAGAATCTACTGCTTGGAATTGAACCTACAGAAATAATTAGGGGCGGGAGCAAAGATTTCATTCCAAGGATGCTTCCCCAGTGACGGGGGGATGAAATGCCTTGTGGGTTATGCAGATGGTGGCACACCGCGCACCATTTAAGTGACGTTGTATAAGAATGTGTAACGATGTAGAGAGATGCACCTTTAAGCACGAAAAAGGTCACAAAACAGTATGACTATGATCTCAGTTTTATAAAGATATTTCTTTATATATAGAAAAATAGAAAGATGTTAGTACTTTAGCCTTGGAAATTAAAGATTTTCCTCCTAGTTTTTGGTAGTTCCTCTTTCCCTCACTCTTTTTTTTTTTAATATATATATATTTTTATTGATTTCAAAGAGGAAGGGAGAGGGACAGAGAGATAGAAACATCAATGATGCCAAAACCGGTTTAGCTCAATGAATAGAGTGTCGGCTTGGGGACTGAAAGGTCCTGGGTTTGATTCTGGTCAAGGGCATGTACCTTGGTTGCAGGCATATCCCCAGTAGGGGGTGTGCAAGAGGCAGCTGATCAATGACTCTCTCTCATCAATGTTTCTAACTCTCTATCTCTCTCCCTTCCTCTCTGTACAAAAATCAATAAAATATATATATATATAAAAAAAAGAAACATCAATGATGAGAGGGAATCATTGATCGGCTGCCTCCTGCATGCCTCCTACTGGGGATCTAGTCTGCAACCCAGTTATGTGCCCTGACCGGGAATCGAACCATGACCTCCTGGTTCCGAGGTAGACGCTCCACTATGTAGAAACCAGATGATAAAATTCCTGTGCTGCCGGCATGTGCCCTGACCTGGAATCGAACCACGACCTCTGTCACCTGGGGAGCTCCACTCTGCCTCGAGGCTCCTTCTGCCCCCATGATGTCACAGAGGCCAGGGTACATCTTCAACTTCCTTCCCTCCTCTCTTCCGATGAACTGCTTGTAGACACCACGTGGTGTTGCAGAAAAAGGATCAGGGAGCATGAACCCAAGCTCTGCCTAGCTGTGTGGCCTTGGGAAAGTGACTTAACCTCTCTGAGCCTCCAATTCCTTTTCTGTTCATTGGGATACTGATATCCCCCTCCCAGGGCTGGGGGATGGTGAGGGTTACATGGCCAGCACAGGGAGGTGTTCAGTGCATGGCAGCCCCTCTCTGTCTCTGCACACGGGGCACCACCGAGCAGCCAGGTCTCTATGAGCAGTGTTCTGAGGTCCCTTCACAATAGCCCCCCTTTGGCGGTCTGTGGTTCACCCCCCAGACTACAGTTAGGTTTGCTCCTAGACCACCCCCACCCCAGCCACCCCCGCTTCCCGTAAACGCCGCCAGAGAGCAGGATGCGTGTGCTCCCGGGTGGCCTGTCCCGGCTGCGGGCAGGTCCTTCCCGATCCAGCCTCCTGTGGCAACGGAAGGGTCACCCTCCGGGACACAGCGCCTGGCCGCAGCCACTTACATTTTGGCTTCATAGTCCTTCCACGCCTTCTCCAGGTGTTTCTTGGAATCCTGTGGTTTAAAAAACAGTTTGGAATCCTGTGGCTTAAAAAGAACAATCTGCCCAAAGGGCACTGGGGTGTGGCATCAATAGGACACTTGGCTTCCTATAGGGGAACCCTGCACTTCGGTGCTCCTCTGTGCTGCTGACGCCATGCTCCCACCAGCCCCTGCCCCCAAAGCCCTGACGGTAAACCCGTTCCCCTCCTCCCCCTCCACAGACACGGATCCTATTTCTCAGCGCTGACCTTCTGCCACCTGACCTTTTCCCACAGTTGCCAAGGATCAGTGGGTTTGGGGGGCCCAGGCCCGGGCTGGGGGGAGATTTGGGGGGTCTGCCCCCAAATGACAGAGATCACCATGAGGATAAGGATGGGGAGGATGGAGGTCAGACATTCCCCCACCACCCCCAACTTTCCCCCGCCATCCTCTCCTGCCTGGTACTAGGTCATCCTGGTATTTGGTATAAGAACAGAAACACGGAGAAGCTGAAAAGAGTCCCCTCTGGCCTCCTACCCAACGTCACACAGCAAGCCGGCGAGGCCCGGCTGCTCCCTGGCCTAGTTTGCCTGGGCCGGCGGCTCGCACCCGCAGAACAGCCCTGACTTCCGGCGCCCAGCCCGCCAGGTGAAAAGCTGCCCGTCTGGTTTGGGAGGTTCCCAATCTGGAGTCCAGCCTGGGGCAGGGAGGGAAGCCTATGGGGGGAGGACAGCTCCTGCCCTGGACCTTCCAGGGCAACCTTTCCAGGGAGGTGACTGTCACCTCAAGCCAGGAGCTGCCAGGTGCCGGGAGTCCGGGTCCCACACCGGCTCCTCCGGACTCGCTGTGTAAACTGGGCCCGGGTTTTCTCAACTGCAAAAGGGGGGTGATGGTACCTACAGAGTCCACCTCCTAAGGCGGTAAGAATCCCATGAGCTATTTCACGTAGGGCCCTGGCAGGCAGTAGGCCAGCCACCCCAGGCGAACCCCAGAGCCAGATCCTCCTGTCCCCCAAGGACCAGCAATATGGAGTCAGTACTGCTACTGTGACCGCCTTGCTTGGCCTCCCCTACGGCCCCCTGCCCACCCCTGTCCTGCTGCATCTCACCACCTCCGGGTCCCCTGCCTCCTCTCCTCATGGAGACTCACCTGTCGCCCATCCCTCAGGTGCCCCTTCAACAGACTGTCCAGCGGGAAAGAGACAATGTTGTTCATGTTCTGGACCTGGAAAAAGCAGAGACCTTGGGTGACCCTCTGTCCAGCCCCAACAGGCTTGAGTGCAGGGAAGCAGCAAGAGGCAAAGGACCTCGCTGGGAGTCAAAGAAGCAGAGGAAAGAAAGATGCAAAAATGGGGACGTAAAAGGGGGCGGTGCAGTCGGCTCCCCATAAAAGCTGTAGCCGTTAAAGGCGGCCTCAGCACCTCACTGCCCCAGGGACGTCCACCATCAGTCCCATCTCCGTCCTTTTGCCGGGAGCACCGTCCGGTCCCTCCCCTCCCTGACTCTCTGAAGTCCTCCCGTCGTGGCCAGGGGCTCAGGCGGACTGAGTGACTCACCCAGGGTCACAGGCCTCGTGAGCAGCAGAGCAGGGATTCGAGGCCCCAGTCTAAGCCCCAGACTCCCCTGTGGTCACATGGGGGAGAACAGAGGAGTCGGAGCTGACCAGGGAGTCCCCCATCTTTGGCCCACAGTGGTTGGATCAGGAACAGGCACGTGACCCAAGCCAGCCAATCAGATCCTTCCTGGGGACGTTCCTGCCTTGGGAGAAAGCCTAGCGAAAGATGCGATCTTTCTCCCAATGGGATCTGACATGAACAGAGACGGAGAAACCATCAAAGAGAAAGGAGGAGCCTAACACCAGTAACTCTCCCGGACTTTCCATTACAGGGCCAGTAAGTTCCCCTTTTAAAAATTAACCTAGTTTGGGTGGACTTTCTGTTACTTGGCAACCTCAACGGCCTGTCTCATATTTCAGCCCACCTTTCAAGGCACAGCCCAGGCCCCCCTCCTCCAGGAAGCCTTCCTGGTCACTCCTGCCTGCGGCCTCTGCTGGGCTCTCCTTTTCTGAACCACGGCAGCACTACTCAGACCAACCTGCGGGATCCTTGAGTTTGTGCCAGGCTGGCATTGCTTGGTATCAGCCCACCTGTCAGTTCCTGTCTCCCCCACTAGACCGTGTCTCTCTGAGCAGAGCCTGACTCTCTCTCCTTCGTTACCAACTCCTGGTATTATACAATGCCTACCACAGGGCAGACCCGCAGCACACATCAGCATGAGTGGCAGAAGGGAAAGAGAGGTAGCGACAAAGGAGGTCACTAATTGGGCTCAACTCTAACACCGGGAGAGGCCTCTGTGTGTAGGCCAGAGTTCGAGGCAAGGCTATGCAGAGAGCCATACGGACAGATGGCAGTAGTCGCTAACCCTTACGGAGCCCCTGCTCGTGTGACCCCCATTACAGCGCCGTGGGGCGGGTGCCATCACTATTCCCGTTGTACAGAAGAGACACCTGGGGCTCAGACGGGTTGAGTGACTCACCCAGGGTCACACACACACCCAGTGAGCAGCAGAGCAGGGATCCGAGGCCCCATCTAAGCCCGAGATCCAGGAACTTAACCGCTAAGTGCTTCTTGGGGATGTGGCCCTGCAGGCCCTGGAGGGCACTGGTGGGACTCCGGCCGCGAGAGCCGGTCCGAGGAAGCCTGGAGGGCGAGGGGCTTTCCGGGGAAGGGCAGAGCCAGGCTTGTGGTCAGATGCTGGGGCCAGACAACCTCGGTTCCAATCCAGCTGTCTGACCTCAGGCCATGGCTCGCCTCACGTCTTGGTTTCCTGGCCTGTGAATTGGGGCCGAGAGTATAACCAATGCCACCGAGCTGTGCTCCAGGATGAATGAGTTAACACGTAAGTTACGGATAATCTGCCCTCGGCAGGGAAGAGAGGGGACCTCGGTGGCCTCGAGGCAGGGAGTGAGGACAGGGGGGAGGAGGCAGGAACCTGAGGCCACTGGGCCCCCTGCAGGGCTGAGAGGTTTGTGGAGACAAGGCAGGGCCCAGGCTTTGAGGTTGGGAAAGCAGGGGACACAGTGGGTTGAGGACTGGCGGAGGCACAAACAGGAACCCCAGAGTGTGCCCTCCCTTCTCCCCAGCCTCCTCCAGCGAGCCCTCCCCTGGGGGGGGGGGTGTCTCTTCCCCACAGAAGACATAGAGGAGGGCAGAGAGAGAGGAAGGGAGAGAGACAAAGAGAGAAGATGGGGGTGAGACGTCAGAGAGGAAGAAGAATGCAAAGGCAGGTCAGAACTGGAAAGGAATCTCCGGTCATGGGTCAGAGGGAAGGGAGACCAGAGGTCAACGGCAACCTGGGAGAGGGGTGGAAGCCAGCCCTCTCCTGGCCAGGCTCTTCCGCCCACGGGTTTGCCCTGAGCCCGGGCTGGGGGCTGCTGAGGAGGGACCAGGGGCCTCACCAGGTTCTTGAAGAGCGCGGCCACCTCGCGGGTGAACACGGCCAAGTTCAGGAAGCCGGTGGACAGCTCATGGCTGTTCTGGGACAGGTGGCTGTTGCCCAAGGACTCCACGGCCTCCCGGTAGTGCTCCTCGTTCTCCACGTGGCCTATGGAGACAGGGAAAGGGAGCTCAGAGTGAGCTCCAGGCTGGGGCTGGGGCAGGGGCTGCCTGGCCAGGCCGGGCATCGAGCGGCTCACTCACCGAGGCCAGAGCTGTGGATGGCTCGCACGGCCTTCTTTATTCTCTGCAGGATGGCCTGGTCTCCCTCCAGCATCTGGAAGCAAATGTGGACAAAGGTTCAGGCATGCCCAGCTTGGGGGAGAAGGCGGGGGTGGGGGGGTGGGGGGGTGACTCCATGATTCCACCCTCCAAACACACATATAGAGTTTCCAGCCCGGCCGGTGTGGCTAAGTGGTTTGACCTATGCACCAAGAGATCACGGTTAGATTCCCGGTCAGAGCACATGCCTGGGTTGTGGGCTCCATCCCCAGTAGGGGATGTGCAGGAGGCAGCAGATCAATGATCCTCTTTCATCATTGATATTCCTATCTCTCTCTCCCTCTCCCTTCCTCTCTGAAATCAATAAAAATATATTAAGAGGGGGGAAAATAGTTTTCTCCGTTACAACCTCCCCCAACATAAACAGATCACCCTCTTCTGCTCAGAAAGCCATGGACCCCTGCCCCAGTCCCCCACTCCCAGAGGACCGCAGATTCTCCCCGATCCCAACGCAGGCTGAGTGAACATCCCGATCCCGAGAGGTGTAGTACAGTGGGGTATGTCAGGCCTGGCTTGACTCTCAGCTCTGGCACTAACCAGTGTGCCATCCTAGACAAATCTGTTATCCACTCTGAGCCTTGGATGCCTGGTCTGCAAAGTAGGGATGATACTGTGGACTCTTGGAGCTGCTGAGGGAATTAATGATCTTATGGATTTGTACAAAATGTTTAGCAAAGGACCAGAGAGAGAACATGGACATCTCGACATTCTCGAAAGACATGATGGGGGCCCTGGCGTGTTTGGGTCAGTGGATAGAGCATTGGCCTGTGGACTGAAGGGTCCCGTGTTCGATTCCGATCAAGGGCACATGCTCAGGTTTCAAGCTTAATACCCAGTAGGGGGCGTGCAGGAGGCAGCCAATCAATGATCCTCTCTCATCATTGATGTTTCTATCTCTCTTCCCTCTCCCTTCCTCTCTGAAATCAATAAAAATATATATTTTTTAAAAAGACAAGATGGCAGAGACCGGTTTGGCTCAATGGATAGAGCGTCGGCTTGGGGACTGAAGGGTCCCGGGTTCGATTCCGGTCAAGGGCATGTACCTTGGTTGCGGGCATATCTCCAGTAGGGGGTGTGCAAGAGGCAGCTGATCGATGACTCTCTCTCATGGATGTTTCTAACTCTCCGTCTCTCTCCCTTCCTCTCTGTACAAAATCAATAAAAATATATATTAAAAAAAAAAAAAAAAAAAAGACAAGATGGGGGAATGCTTGTTTCCAAAATCCCTGGCTCAAAAAGCAGCCATGTAAGGACGAGGAGGCAGAGGCAGGACACCATGGATAGGCAGTGAAGTCAGAGGGAACACACTCAACACTCCACTGGAGAGAACTGGTGGGACGACATCAGGCCACCTCTACGTCCAGGGGCTGGAGGACAAACAGCAGACTGGGGGAGGCCGGCAGACATGGTAAGAAGCCGGCCGCCCGTGCTCCAGGTGAGCTCACCCCCTGTGGAAACCACCCCTCTTCCAGTGGAGTGTCGAGGCTGCCAACCTCATGAAACCCTCATGAAATACATAGTTACGTTGGAATGTGACCCAGAACCACAGATTAGGAATCTGAGGCCAAGAGAGGGGAAGGCCATGCCCAGAGTCAAACAGTGGGCAGGCAGCAAGGCTGGGCTTCCAGGGAGGCCCCATGACAGCGCGCCACCCACGGCCCCGCCCTGGCCCCAGCCCCGCCTGTTTTGCCCAGAGACTAAATGGGATCAGAGTCTCATCTCCAGAGTGTTACTGCAAGGTGACAAGAGTTGGCAAACACGTTGGAATGGTGTCTGCAAGGACCGTAAACAGTGCTCACAGAGGGCATGCACGGGGCAGAGCTTAGAGGCCCTGTGGCGTGTGTTCGGGGGCTCCTGGCACGTGGGAAGCCCCTGGAGGGAAGGGGTGTGGTTTTGAAGCCCAGCTCCACTGCCCAGATGCTGTGTGACCTTGGGCAAGTTGCCTATTGTCTCTGAGCTCCTGATCAGCGATCTGTGAAAGAGAGGAAACCGTGCCTGCCTACCTCTCAGGGTTGGTGTGAAGGTTATTTTGTAGGAGACGATGCACCTAAAGGGTTTATAATGAATTAAGCAAAGTGTGTCCTCAATGAATAGAACCTATGATCAGTCAAAACTGGTTTGGCTCAGTGGATAGACCATCGGCCTGAGGACTGAAAGGTCCCAGGTTCGATTCCAGTCAAGGGCATGTACCTTGGTTGCAGGCACATCCCCAGTAGGGGGTGTGCAAGAGGCAGCTGATCGATGATTCTCTCTCATCGATGTTTCTAACTCTCCATCCCTCTCTCTTTCTCTCTGTAAAAAAAAAAAAAAAAAAAAAAATTATCAGCAGCTGCTGCTGGTGATAAAAAGGCCCATCAAATCCTGGATATGTTTATGTTTCCTCTATGGATTAGAAACCTAATAAGTCTTCTCCCTGAATATGAACTTGAGATACTTTCATGTTCGGGGCCAGTGGAAGCCCATCACAAGATTGAAGAAAGAAAGTCAAGGACTTAGGGAGATTGGGCCATTTTTGAATCAGCTGAAGAACTAAGACTCTTTTTACTGGGAGACCAAGGGGAGAGGAGAGGACATGACATAGCTCCAAAGACCCGGATGGGGAGACGCGTGTCCACCAAAGCCCCTGATCCTCACCTTGAAACTTGAAAAGGCAAAGCTCAGAGGTGGTCAATGTAAGGAGCTATGACTTCACTCCAAAAGACAGTACAAGGCGAAGGTGTGAACAAATTCCAAAGAGATTTAGAAAACCCTCTAAACAAGCATGTCAAACTCAAAGGCTAAAACGGGCCAAATAAATGAGGCACGCAGCCTGTGGGCCACAAGTTTGACATGCTTGGTCTAGAAGGTAGATCTGTGTGCCAAGTACACAGAAGATGCTCAGAACTGTTTACATCAATGAATGACAGTTTGCAAAGCCCTGGGCATGGGTCTGAGAGGTCTACTAAGTCCATGCTCTAGGTGCCTTTTGGAGAGTCTTTCCATCCCACGATATCCATTCTCTGAAAACTGCCTTCCTCCTCTCTCGAGGCGAACCCTTGCTGCCTTGTTTGTTCTAAAGTTGACTGGACCAGGGTGGACACTTGAACCAAAGTAGGCCCATTCAATTCTCTCTCCAAAGAATCTGGAATTGGGTTCTGGGAAGCTAGCTAACTGATCGAAAGTGCTTAAGCTGGGAAACCTTGCCCACCACGTGCAAAGGGAAAAGAACAAAGCAGGTATGCAGAAGGAAGCATGAGACTCATGCAGCCACCGAAAGGCAGAAGGTAACTTTCCAGCTCCTGTTACGTTGACTATCCTATCACTGTACAGGTGGTGTGTCTCCATAATCACCCACAAACTGTCCCTTGATAGCTTTGTCAGACATAAATCGGGAAATGGCTTCCCAGAAAGACACCATTTCTGTCCCTACTGATCTTCACACAGCTATTCATTCATTCATTCATTCATTCATTCAACTAGTTACTGAATGCCTGCTATGCATTCATACCCTGTGTAAGAGACACAACCTCAGCTCTCAGGACATCACTATCTAAGGGGTGAGAAAGAGCCAGGTAAACAGGTACTGGTAAAACAGTGTGATTAAGTACCAGGGAGCCCACGAGAAGCAAAGCTGTGCCTGCTTAGGAAGAGCAGGGAAGGCTTCCCTGAAGCTATGATGCTTGACTCTAGGACTGGACTCTAGGAAGATAAGAAACGAAGAGACTGACTGAACTGGGAGGCAGCATAGGGAGCACGGGGAGTAATGGCAGGACTGCTAGAGGAGAGGCTTGCTCTGGGAAGAATGGGCAAGAAGCCTTAGCCAATGTGGTTCGGCTGGTTGGGCGTCTTCCCATGCGCTGAAAGGTTCTGGCCTCGAGCCCCATAGGTGTGTAGGAGGCAGCTGAATGATGTTTTGCACTTATATTGATGTTTCTCTCTTCCCCTCTCTCCCTCCCTCTCTCTAAAAATAAGTAAAAAAACAAACAAAAGAAGAAATGGAAAAACAAACAAACTGGGAAACACGCACACACACAAAAGAAAGAAAAAACAAAGAAAATTTTTTAAATGGGCAAGGAGATTAACATGGTTCGCTCATTCATTCATTCATTCATTCATTCCAACAGGAATCTCTTGGTGCCTCTTTCAGCCAGGCATGGCCTTCCTTCAAGAGGGGAGAATTCTAATCACCCTCTTCTCAAGAAAATATCTGAAAATCATATTTACACTGGGGTATAAATCATTTATCCTCTCTGATACAATCGGCAAAGACTTGAGATTAAAAAAAAAATAGTTTTTACAAGAGTTTATTTATAAAGAAAAATACTTTTAAGCAGGAAATTCTGGTCTTAGCCTGGAGATGGGAAGGTATTTGGGGAAAGGCACAGAGGTGTCCAGAACGTTTGCAGCGATGTGTCCCAAGCTGAGGTGCTAGCCCCAGTCTCCCCCAAATAATCTCCCTGCAAGACAATAGCCCAGTCAGTTCTCCGAACCTCCTCCTCTTTACAATGGAAGAAAAATAATATAACATGGGGTGGGGGGGGGGGGTCCATTTTCTGCTTAACTCACAGAGTTACTATGAGACTCACATGAGATCGCAGACATGTGCCAAAGCTTGAGGCATTTGGAAAAAATTAGTATGATTCTTACTGTGGTTTGTTTTCTGCCTCTGTGTGAGATCAGCCCTTATTTCCCATGCCTGAGCCTGAATAAGTTAGGGAGGAGGGAAAATCAGTTCTGGATTTAGGTGGGTCCATTTAACCCCCAACAGTTGTTCTCAAAGTGGGGGGTCCCTGAGCCAGCAGCATCAACGTCACCTGGGAATATGTTAGAAATGCAAATTCTCTAGCTGAACCAGAACATCTGGGGTTGGCCCAGAAATACTGTGTTTTAACAAGCCTTCCAGGTGATTCTGATGCACACTAACGTTTGGGAATCACTGGTCTAATTCTACCCCTCAGAGATGCAGTAAATCATCATTGCTAAGAGTATGGGGCTGGCCCCAAACTGCCTGGTTTT